CCTAATACTCCTATTAGGTGAAAGTCTATATGGGGGATGGATGGTACAATGATTTCCAGAAGAAAGATTTTGATTTATTTAGCAAACCAGATTTCTATGTTAGGGTATGTCAATACTTTATTTCATGCCCCTCCCTCTTATCCCTAGAATAATATTATATAAACTTATATTGATGGTTTGTGGTTGGTCACCCTGCAGGTAGGAATTGCTGGAGTCCCTGCAGATAGTGAAATGAAGAAGACAGCAAAAGTGGATGACAATTGGAGACCTGTTTGGAATGAGGAATTTGAGTTTCCATTAACTGTTCCAGAATTGGCTCTTCTTCAGATTGTTGTGAAAGAGTATGACATGTCTGAAAAGGATGATTTTGGTGGGCAGACTTGCCTGCCCGTATCTGAATTACAAAGAGGGATTCGGGCAGTTCCACTACATGACCGTGACGGGACAAAGTTTGCTTCGGTTAAGCTGTTGATGCATTTCGATTTTGTGTGAGTGTATTAGCAGTTCTCTATGGGATGATAGTGTACAGACTCCACATCAGTTAAGCCATTTTTTTTTTGTTTTGTTTGATGTTGCTGTGATCTGGTTGGTGTCTGTCACAATAAGAACATTTGCCTCTGTTGTTTTTAGTATTATTCCACGTCAAAGGATCATTTGTACCCAAGGTCACTATTGTTAAACCATACGTAGTATTTTGTGACTTTTACCTGATATTTTTTTTGGCAAAGATAACTTAATTAATATTAAAACTGAGGACCATATACAAGTTCGCCATAACAAAGGCTAAACTGGGATGGGACTCAGAACTGGAATCGTGCTTACTAGCGGACCATCTCGCTAATCCCGCAATTTGGTAGACTCTATACATAGCAATGCTGCACCTGCTACTAAGAGAGTATTTAAAAAGCAAAACAGAGTTTTGAAAAAATGAAAAATTAAATGAAGAACATAATCCAGTTATTCCGCAAGGGACTAGCGGTTTGACCAGCCTTCGCTAAAGGTACTTCATCCTTGTCTTCACATTCTTCTGCTACTGGCGGTGCTACCTGAGCAACACCGCCACTTCCAAGTTTTTTGGAGTTTCTTCATCCACTTCCATGCTAGCCTGTACCCCGACTTCGTTGTCCTTCTCAGTGGCCCTACACTTTCTCGATGCATCCTGGGTTGTAGCAATTTCTTTCCTCTTTGAGAGCAGTCCTCCCACCTAATAACTTTCATGTTCCTTTATCACTTTATCAACCTTTGCCTTTTTGTCCCCGCCTGTCACCTGACTTGTTGATGCTAGGTATAAGCCATCTGTTGCCCGAATGTGATCCTCCCCGCCTCATATCGGCCCGTGGCTATGGCCCATAAGACTTCTCCCCAATCCCAACACCGCAATGCGGATTAGATGGACAGAAACGGTCAGCATGACCAAGTATCCCATACCAAGTATCCCATACATAAACCAGAAATTCGAGTCTCTCATACCGAAAGTTTGCCCAGATCCATCTATCTCCCTCCTGTCTGACTTGTAGGCGTCTAGTCAAAGCCATTGTAATATTCAGAGTAACTCGAAAACGCACGACTAACCTTTGCTTTCCGCCAAACGAGCTCTTGTCCACTTGCACAAGCGTTCCAATGTTATTAGCAATTCCACGAGCTGTCCGTGCCTACATGTAGCTTAAGGGTAGATCATGGAACCTGGACCCAAAAATCTGCATGATCCAACGGGAGTACGGGACCTCCAGAGGTTTATAAATATGCCCCAATCGTTTAATAACCACAAGATTTTGCTTAAAGGACCAGGGCCCCTCATCAACAACTATGTTGAGATCTCCTTCGTGTAGAATTGTAGAAGGAATTTAGAATCCTCAATTTCATCAATAGAAAACTCCCTTAACTGGTCGCCAGACCCTAGCCATTGTTTGGCAAAAAGAAACGGCACGAACAGGTTTATCAGAAACCACTCTAGCCACGACCACTAGAAACGGCCGAGTCAGCCGCTAACACCAAACCCCTGTTCTCTTCCTCTGAAAGCATACTAACATTTCTCGAAATCATTTCCATCACAACACAATCCAAACATTTCTCGAAATCATATCCATCACAACACAATCCAAATTCCACAAACAATGCAAATAAAGACTCAATTAAGTAATAAAACTAAACACTCGAAGCTCTGCAATCCACGAAAACAGAGAAGATACCAGCCGTTCCTACTGATCAGATGCACAACAAACAGCCTCGGCCAATTTAAGCCGGAAAAACAGACTCGGGATAGACGGCCGGAAAAGAGGACAAAACAATCGAGCACAAAGAACCAAGAGGAAAAACAACCTGGTAAAGAATGATTAAACGCCAATGCTTCCTAGAGATGCCATCACCTTTGACGAATTGAAACTGCCTTGAGGATACATTTTGCTTCGTCGATCCTGATGGCCGTCGACGAAATCCCAAATCTAGGTTCGGCGCTCTCCATTAAAGTGTTTAAAAGTTAAAAAGTGTTTTCAAATGACAACTATTAAATTAATCACTTAAAAGCTAAAAGCTGGAAGCAGGTGGAAAAGTGCTTTAAACTGCTTTTCACTTTTTCTATTACACAAAAAGTACTTATTTTAGCAAACACTACCAACTTTTACTTTTTCAGAATCACTTTTTCCTCAAACACTACCAACTTTTACTATTAATCAATTTTCCCAAAATCACTTTAAAAAATCACTTTTTTAAAGTTGAAGCAATTGCAAACACTCCCTTAGTACTCCACCTTCCTTACCTGATGTAATTAGATTGATTTCACTCACATAATCAGACCAATTCAAATCATATTATGATAGACCATGTAACACAATTGTAAAATGCACATAGAAGGGACGTCTACAAAATTAGACAAGATTTCGATTGATTATAAAATAGTGATAGAACAAACATCTACTAGACTAGTTTGTACCACTCCTATTAGATCATATCAGACTTGCCAAATCAAATTAGATCAACTTGTATCAGAAAATTTCAATCCAATTAAATAAATCCCTACTCCCTCCGTCCCTAATCTTTCTCCCATTTCGGCTGGGCACGTTTATTAAGAAAGTGGGATTTGTGTGGTGGAGAGTTGTGCAGAGGAGAGAGAAATGTGTAAGAATGGTTGTGAACCACAAATTCTTTGCTAAAAGGGGAAAGAGGAGATAATTTTGGGACGGACGAAAAAGGAAAGTTAGAAGATAATTCAGGGACGGAGGGAGTATTAATTACAAATTGTTTACTCCAAATAAAATAAATACTCCATAATTCTTTTTTGCATATTGTGGGCCGTCTACTCCCATGATGTCTCACCGGATCCGGGAGACGGTTCCACGTTTACTCAAATAAAGTGCCGAATTCGGATCGGGTGCGGGTCTAGACCCGACCCATCGACAGGCCTACTTGTACCAAGCTTGCCTTATACTAATATGAAAGCTTATAGTACAATCTTCATACATATCCATGATGATGTTGATATACTTACGTGATATTCGAATTCAGTTAAGAACCACTAAACAACTCACATGATGTTCAAATCCAGCGAGGCTCGTCTGATTTGATCTAACCTGCTTATGTCTGGTCTGATATAAGATTGAAATTAGTTCAACTAAAATATCTAAGCGGGTCATTGATTTTCGTATCAACCAATTGAAGCCGGTTTAGATTTGGTAACCTATGCATTGTGCATGCTTTTTTGTTTTCAATCAGGGGCGTAGCTAGGGGGCAACCATGGCACCGGTCCTCCCCAAATTTTGAAAATGTTAATATTTTAGTGTAAAAATTCCGTGTAATTTTTTCACTAAAAATATTCTTTGTACCGGCTCAGTGCGGTCCAGGCCCTGACTCTGCCCCTATTTTCAATATATATTTATATTGTTTGCACATGTTGTGTGGTGGTTTTCTATTAGAATAGACTTGATCAGATTTAAACAGATCACATGAGACTGTGAAAATAGTAAAATAAACACTTTAGAAATTTGTTAATATAAATTAAATTCAAATATCTTAATAAGCAAGATGTGTATACGCTTTAAAAGTTCTTGATTTATCTTTCAAGTGTTTGTGTTTTATGTAATTGAGTAAAATTAAATATTTTTTTTAGTGAATAAATTAAATACTTCAAAAGTGGAATATAAACTTTGGATGTTTTTACTTGGACCGAAATATGCTAGTTTGGTCTGATCTAGTCTGTTGAAGTCTGATCTGATCTAGTCTATTTAAGTCTGATCTGCTCTGAACTGACCTGATAAACATCTGGTCTCTGTGTATTTTATAATTATGATAGTCTGGTCTGATCTAGTCTGATTTAAACTTGGCTGGTCTGATATGGTTCGTGTAAGTTTGCTTGGGTTTGGTTTAGTCTAGCAGTATAAACATCCTCACTCTTTGGTAGCCTTGTGATCTCCCAAAGAAGAGGTCGTAAGTTCGAGTCTCATCTCAATCAAGAATGTTGGTATTAAAGATGTTTTCTTTTGGACTGTTTTCAGTCCCAGACCAGACCAGACCAGACCAGACTTAAACAGACCAGACCAGACCAGACTTAAACAGACCAGACCAGACCAGACTTCCGTAGTTATAAAATACACAGAGACCAGACGTTTACCAGACCAGACCAGACCAGTTCAGACCAGACCAGACCAGACCAGACCAGACCAGATTTAAACAGACTAGACCAGACTTAAACAGACCAGACCAGCAAATTTCAGTCCAAAAGAAAACATCCTAACCAAACCGGATACTATAAGTCTATAATAGGTTTAAAACAAAAAAAAATGCATGGTAATACGAAGAGACTAATTAATTTAATTTCATGAAAAAGGAGGTAAGTACAAGATAATAATGAGATAATAATCTCACCAAATCTCAATTGCTTGTACCCAAGAACAAATGCGGTTGCAACCGCCCGCGCGTCGCAGTCAAAGCAGAAAGGAATAAGACATGCAACGGGTTGCAAATTACAGGAAGACGCAAATTGTCGGGACTCTATCGTGGGCCCCCACCCCATCGCCACGTTCACCACCACCTCTTCCCCCCTCTCTCTCCCAAAACCGAAACCGGTGAGACATCATGGGACTCTTGCTTAAAACGCGTACCCACAGATACCAATCACCAACAACTTCCAGCAACAACTTCCAGCGGTGACAGAATATTCCACTGAGGTTTTAGAGAGAAGAAGATGGTCAGGGACGACATAGAAAGCGCGGGAGATAAGAACAGGGGAAGGGATTTCGTCCCGGCGATTGATGTCGGAGACCGGCAGAGGGTTTCGTGGTTGATCCCTCTGTTCGTTGCTGCCAACGTTGCTATGTTCGTTGTTACTATGTATGTCAACGATTGTCCGGAGCATGCCTCCGGCTGTGTGGCTGATTTTCTCCGGCGCTTCTCTTTCCAGCCCCTGCGCGAGAATCCTCTCTTCGGCCCTTCTGCTTCCACGTAAGAAAGAAGGACTTTGATTTTCTATTAATCTCCCATTCAAGTCATCATCTTGTGTTTTTTTTATTTTGGTTTTTAGCTATGTTTTTTCTCTTTAAAACTTTCAAATTATTCAGTTAGTTACAATTGGAGGGTTTTCTCTTCTGGTTAACTGATTTAAGTTGTCTGGGCAATGCTTGGGGCTAAATTTGAATTGCAATGCGTGAACTGTGAACTTTAATTTAATGCCTGTTTTTTATAACGGGCCTTTATTAGTTTATTTGCTTATTGGCTTTATGAGCTGGTAAGAATCTGGGTAATAACTAATAAGGTTGATGAGTTAAAAAAATTAGCTTCCAAATAGGAATTATATTTATCATGTATTCTTACAACTTCGATTATGACTCCTAAAAGTGTTTGGAACTAGGCCGTTTTTAGGGGGAGATGAGTATATTCTGTTTTACAGAGTGTTTGGAAAGTTCAGAGATTGATTTCCTTTGGGACTTGGGAAGTCTTTTTTTTTTGAAGGAATGTTTGGTATAAGTTAATAAATAAAGGAATTCAATTTAATTCCTTAACGAAACTGGATATTCCCACTTTAAGAAGCTTGACAACAATAAAAGCGAAAGTTTACTCTGGATTAGATTTAACTTCAAAGCGTGTTTCCATTTTTAGTAAATATGTCTGCAACTAGTAGGCTTCACAACAACAAATTACAACAACAAGTAGGCATTGATGAAATAAAATCTCATGTTTTTTGTCAATTCTTCTGCCTGAAGCTGTGGTTTTAAGTGGGACGGAGGTAGTACATACTTCGTATTATGATGAATGTTTGGTGTTACCTACCATTACCTTTTTATTTCTTCATAAAATAAAGATTACAGAAGGTAGTTGGTCTAGAATGTGTTTGGAACAAGGCGTTTTTTGGGGAGAGGAGTATATTATGTTTTACTGAGTGTTGGAAAGTTCGGAGGTTGAACTGAATTGACTTCCATTGGAAAGTCTTTTTTGAAAGAATGTTTGGTATATGTTAATAAATAAAGGAATTCAAATTTATTCCTTAACGAAACTGGATATTCCCACTTTATGAAGCTTGACAACAAGAAAAGCAAAGCTTTACTTTGGAGTTGATTAAACTTCAAAGCATGTTTCCGTTCTAGTAAATACGTTTAACTAGTAGGCATTACAGCAACAACAAATTACAACGACTAGTAGGCATTGATGAAATAAAATCTCATGTTTTTTGTCAATTCTTCTGCCTGAAGGTGTGGTTTTAAGTGGGATAGAGGTAGTACATATTATGATGAATGTTTGGTGTTACCATTACCTTTTTATTACTTCATAAAATAAAGATAACAGAAGGTAGGTGTTCTTGAATGTGTTTGGAACAAGGCGTTTTTTTTGGGGGGGGGGGGGGGGGGTGTATATTTTGTTTTACAAAGTGTTGGAAAGTTTCGGAGGTTGAACTGAATTGACTTCCATTGGAAAGTCTTTTTTTGAAAGAATGTTTGGTACTCCGTATAAGTTAATAAATAAAGGAATTCAATTTTATTCCTTCACGAAACTGGATATTCCCACTTTAAGAAGCTTGACAACAAGAAAAGCAAAGTTTACTTTGGAGTTGATTTAACTTCGAAGCGTGTTTTTGTTTCTAGTAAATATGTGCAACTAGTAGGCATTACAACAACAACAACAAATTACAACTAGTAGGCATTGATTGAATACAATCTCATTTTTCTTGTCAATTCTTCTGCCTGAAGGTGTGGATTTAAGTGAGACAGTTTTTTTTTTTGGGAGGAGTAATACACTCTTCCCCCCCAAAAAAAAAGAAAGTGAGACAGAGTTAGTACATATTATGATGAATGTTTGTTGTTACTTACCATTACCTTTTTATTTTTTCATAAAATACAGATTACAGAAGGTGGGTGGTCTTGAATGGGACAAGGTGGTGAACCATCATCAAGGCTGGAGGCTTATAACGTGTATCTGGTTACATGCTGGACTTATCCACCTGCTTGCAAACATGCTGAGTCTTGTCATTGTCGGTGTTCGCCTTGAGCAGCAATGTGGCTTTGGTATCTATTTTCTGAAACCATTTTGTCCCATCTGTCTATTTCTTCCTGTTTTAAATCCTTTTATTATTTCCATCTGGCAGCTCGGATCGGAGTTATCTACTTAATATCGGGATTTGGTGGGGGCGTGCTTTCTTCTCTCTTCATTCAGAAGAGCATCTCGGTTGGCGCTTCGGGTGCACTTTTTGGTCTTCTTGGGGCCATGCTTTCTGAGCTCATCACCAACTGGTCAATGTACACCAACAAGGTGGGCATTTTTTTTTCAAGTATCTTACGGAAAGGTGGATTCACTCACCTTATTGCCTAGTATTATATTGGACTTGACTCACCCCAAAAGGATATTAAAAATGAGGTCACTGACTCACCCATATACGTTAGGGTATATATATGAACATAAGGTAAACATCACGATATACGACACTTAACATGCATCTTAAGTCCCAACCGGGTTGGAGAACTTAAGGATAAATAAATAGGACCAGCTTACCTCAAACTTGCTACACGGTGACAAACAAACACAAAAACCACAATCAGTTTAGGCTATGATACCATGTTAAATTGAGTAAGGATAGGCATACATGATTTTGGTACATTTTTTTACAACTATATATTCATGTGTGGCATGGCACCCATTTATTGGGTGTTTAGTAGTTATTCAACTTTTCAACACCATTTTAATGGGTGTCACCTATCAATATACTCAAGATTTGTACACAGCTCATGTACAATTGTATTAATAGACTTATTGTATTAAATTATTCGTAATTGATGTTTTCCTCACCCACTTGTGGACATTTAACACCTAGGTTTTTATCTAGTCCACTGTATCAAGTAAGATTTTATTAAAGTACCCATTTGGAAATTACCCACATACCACCCACTATATAGGGTACAGATTTACTGACATTATTGCTGAGATTCTAAGGCTTGGATATTGTTGTTGTATTGCTGAGATTCTAAGGTTTTGACTCACGATGCAGAAAAATATGTTGTTGGGCTTATTTAAATATTAAAATTTAATGGTTTTTGAGTTTTGACAATTTCCTTGTACGAAACACTGCTTTTGGCTAATGGTGTTGATATTCGATATAGATTGCTGCTCTACTCACGCTTCTGGTGATAGTGGCCTTCAACCTAGCAGTTGGGATCCTACCACATGTTGACAATTTTGCCCACATTGGTGGATTCTTGACGGGTTTCCTCCTTGGATTTGTTCTGCTGCCACGTCCTCAGTTAGGGTGGCTGGAACGTAGGAATCGTCCGGCTGATATTCGCATCACGTCCAAATACAAGCTTTATCAATATGTGCTATGCCTTGCATCTCTGCTTTTACTCATAGCAGGGTAATTACTTCAGTACTTCTAGAGATTGATCAGCATATAGTCTATTAACTTGTTTTAACGTTTTTAGGGGGGAAGCTGGGGAAAATATTAATTTCACGAATTTATTATCCTTCATGGAATATTTGATAAACCTCAGTGATCATGTGCTTATTTGGCTAAAACTTAGGAGGTAGATGTAATTAATCCCTTTTATGTGACATTCTGAAAAGCACTAGGGGCTACTAGGTAGGCTAATAGTTGAGGCATAGCTCTTAGGCAGGGCCAGACAGCTCATAAGCAGACTAGATGGGTTCAAAATGGGGAAAAAACAATAGTGGCCAGGAATGTTGATCAGAGGTTGTTTTGTGTTGGTTAAGGTTAGTACTTAGTAAAGTCTAACCTCTTCTTAAAAATGACTAAATTGCAGGTTTGCTGTGGGTTTGGTGATGCTGTTCAGAGGGGTGAATGGATATGCTCATTGTCATTGGTGCAAATACTTAAGCTGTGTGCCAACCAGTAAATGGAAGTGTGACGCAACTTAGCTTAGATTACCATTTCCGGCAACTGCTTATAGTTTTACTCTCCTAATTAGTTGATTGGTTCCATATCTAGTTCGTTCTTTACCAGTGCTCTGGCATATACTGATTGTGTGTCTCCGCTGAGTGCTCTCAGAGGATATGTATATGTTTGGACTTTAGAGGCATTATCATTATCATTATCATTATCATTATCATTATCATTATCATTATCATTATCATTATCATTATCATTATCATTATCATTATCATTATCATTATCATTATCATTATCATTATCATTATCATTATCATTATCATTATCATTATCATTATCATTATCATTATCATTATCATTATCATTATTATTATTATTATCTGGAATCATTATCTATCTATGAAAAGTAATATAGCCAACCCCTAGCACACACGGTTACAAGAATTTTGACATGTGGCAATATCAAAATGACATGTGCCAAAACCATACGGAGGACTAAATGACATGTGTCAGAAATTGGCTACACCATACGGAGTACTCCCTCCGTCCCTTAAAACTTTGCCAACTTTCCTTTTTTGGATGTCCCACTAACTTTGCCACTTTCCCTTTTAAGTAATGAATTTGTGGTTCCAGTTAATTCTCTCTCCTCTGCACAAACCTCAACCACACAGTTTTTACTTTATTAATCCCCGTGCCGGTCAAACATGCCAAAGTTTTAAGGGACGGAGGTAGTAGCATTTATTAAATGAATATCAAGCGACATCATAACTGCACACACATTCATATACTACCTCCGTCCCTTTTTATTTAGCCAAAGTTGACTTTTCCGGTCAAAGGTAATAAACTTTGATCCATTATTTTAACTAATATATTTATGGGAAACTTACTAAATTTATACTTTTATGATAGTATTTTTCACAAAGAACATTTTCATATAATTTTCATATTCTCAATATTCTCGTGAATAAATATAAAGTCGGTCAAAGCTGAACAACTTTGACTTGAAAAATAGTATTTGGCTAAATAAAAAGGGACGGAGGGAGTATGCACTACACTACAGGAGTAGTAACATTCCAGCATTAAAAGCATTTAAACCATGATAGTAAAATTGACATTTGGTTGCACAAAGCATTTACAAAATGAATATTAAAGAACATCACTAGACGTAAGTCCGTATAAAATGAAATTAAAACCAGAGCCACCATGAATTATCTCTTCTAATTTTTATTTCAATCACTAATCGTAAACAAAATTCAGATTACCGACACGTTATTCGCATTTCTCTTTTGTGATGAGAATGGGCGGTGCAGAAACCATCAACAAATTATTTTGTTATAAACTAACATATTTTTTATTGAGGCCTTCAACGCCAACTTATTTTTTAAGGGAAAAAGGATCAAATAAACCCATCTACTATCATCAAAAGATCATCTAAGCCCCTAAACTAAAAAATCAATCATATAGATACATCTACTACTCTACTAGTAAATAACAATCATATAGATCACGTGACCGGATACCAACCTCCTATAGCAAGTTGGTGGTACGGATTCTAGTTTTTTTTCCTCTTTCGGGTTTGTTCTTCTCTGAAGCACAGTAGCACACTCCACGTCCCACACATCTGGTTGTTATTTTACTCTGTATTTTATTTCTCTCTTTTTTTTCCTTTGTCGCACCACTATTCCCCTAATTTGTTGTCTTTACTTTTTTTTTCATCCTAGCCATCCAGCGATTTGTATCTTCTCAACTTTTGCTCTTCCATTTTGGACGTTTAGGTGCCAAAATGGAGATGATTATTGTAGAAACTTTTTTGACTGAGTTACTGTAGATGATTATTTTAACTATTTTTACACATATTCCATTTATTTTATTAATAAAGTATATTTTAAAAATAATTTTTCTTAAATCAGTAGAATCAGCCAATGAAGCCACTTCAGCCAGAACTTCAGAAATTTTAGCAAAATCAGCCAAATCAGCCAATTTTCGTGCTACCAAACGGGCTCTTTATCACTATTATGTTCCTATTTCCCTATTCTTTCTTTATTTTTATTTTTATTTTAGCATTTTCTTCTACTTTTTCTATTTATTTTATTTTTCTCGTTTCTTCTTCCTTCCTTCTTAGAATACGTTAATTAAATTTCTTTTCAGTCTCAAACTGGATTTACTATTAACCATCTTTCTCTGACGTTTTTAGCGGCGTGACCCTCTTGTGATAACGGAATTCAAACACATGAACCACTTTGATAAAACAGGAAACACATGACCCTATCTGAAAACGGGCTCAACCACAAGAATCTTTTCCGTACATTTCCCTAGAAAAAAATATCAGTCTAAAAATCCGCTTTTACATATAAAAAAAATGTGACACAAAAAGTGTACATATATTTTACCATGTCTGAAATATTTTTCGTGTGTACCAAACATTTGTTGTCTTCAAAATCGGACTTTTCTTATCCATATTTTCTGTCTATGGCCTAACTTTACCTACAAAGATATTGATACAGTTTTTTTTAAACGTGAGCAAAAAGTATACATTTTTTTATCTAGTACGAAGTATATACATTTTTTTGTGCCACGCTATTATTTTCTATTGATTTTGAATTTTACAACCAACATTTTTGTCTATGTCTAACTTTAGAGAAAATAAAAATAGAAATTGTTTGGAATGACGGGATGAAGAAAACGAAAAAGGATTGTAGCTAGAAGATAGTCCCAGATCTAAGAAAGAAAAAAAATTGAGACACAGTAAATAAAGAAACAAGGAGTGTGGCTGATTAAAGAAATAACGAAAGAGAAAAATAAACTAAATGCTACTCCGTACTAACTTGAGTTTTTTCCCGGAGAGGGGTGTTTTTCAAACTTATTTCCCAAACTAGGGTAGTTCAAAACTTATTTCCCAAATCAGGGTATTTTTTGCCATGTCATCTCATTATCATCGCAGGCCGCCACATCAGCTTATCCACGTCATCCAACAATTCCACATCATCCAACTTAAAGAGTTCAAGTGTGTTTCTAAGACACAAAAAAAAAAAGTTGCCTCCTGGATTCGAACCTCCGTGGAGGACAAGTCAAGAGAGAAAATGACATAGATAAACCATTGCATTACAAGACCTAGTTGTTACACTCTTTCCCTTTAAAATATATAACTAATACTCTGTATATTCTTAGGCCCAGGAATGCACTTGTATTACTCGTTCCTCCTTTTCCAAACAAATAAAAATATAATAACATATTTAATTTGAGATATTCCTTAAAACCCAATTCAAATACAAATGCTCAAATTTAAGCTAACTTGTAATTACATGTTAACTTTTAGTGAAATTTGAAATACAGAGATTTTAAATCCAGGTGTATATACATTTATCCATGTATTACTCGTTTGTTAGAAATATACTATGTATCACTTATTTTTGAAATAATTAAAAAATATCATAAGGTACTAAGTTTGAGATAATTAAAAAATACAGACCTAAATAAAATAATTAAAAAAATCATAAGGTACTAAGTTATAATTACTAAATGTCATGGAAGGTTTTAGCCCATCCCAATTTACAATAGGATATTATTCATGTGAAAAAAAATCATATAAAATCTATTTAAGAGAAAAAAAAACTTGATAAACTAATATAATAAAAATTCTTGGTACCGAGGTCAAGTTCAACCGAGCCTAAGACAAGTTGAGCTAATATAAAGAATTTTCGTAAATAAAAGTTTATATGATATTTTACATTATTCATATGCTTTTTAAAAAATTTGAGGTGGACTAGCTTGAATATACTTATATTTTATTTTATTTCATTTTGAGTTATTTAAAAGAATTGATTTCATATTGCAAATTATGTTTTTTATTATAAATGTAAATTAATTTTTTATTTTCTAATTAAATATTGTGAAATACGGAGTATATTTTTTTATTATAAATTTGAATTAGGTTTTTATTTTTAAATTGAATAAATCAAAATAAGTTTTTCATTATACTCCGTATTATTTAATTGTTTGGGAAAGAACTGCACTCCCAAACTTACGAATATATGGTTTAAATACAAAAAAATAACATGCTAAGAACAGAAGCAAAGTATAGCATAGTGGTGAGTGATCCTTAGAATCATGTCTTCCACTTGCCTAACGCAGGTTCGAATCTAGGAGCCGTTCTTGTTTTTTGTGTCTTTTAGAAACTATTATAAACTCTTTAAGTTGGATGATGTGGAATTGTTGGATGACGTGGATAAGATGATGTGGCGGCCTGCGATGATAATGAGATGACATGGCAAAAAATACCCTGATTTGGGAAATAAGTTTAGAACTACCCTAGTTTGGGAAATAAGTTTGAAAAACACCCCTCACCGGGAAAAAACTCGTACTAACTTGCTGGAAGAGGTTGATTGCCAGTCACTTTGGTCTATTTGATTGTTTTTCACTACTAAAAGCACCCATGTGATGTATTTTATATCTACCTCCAGTTATCCCTGACTTTTGCTTCAATGTCAGTACAGCGGGGCTCATCAACTCGTTGGAAAGGCTAGGAGAGAAAGTCAGATGGCCCAAGAGAACCGATAAGCCAGTTGGAAAGCGAGACCCGAGCAAACATTGCGACTTCCACAATGACATCGGGCACAACACCGAGGACTGCGTCGCATTGCGAAAGGAGGTCGCTTATCTTTTGAAGAACGGGTATCTGACAGAAATTATGTCAGAACGGACTAAAGCTCTTTTAGGACGAACTGACAAGTCGTCAACTAAAGCGACACGACCTCCATCACCTTCGACTCCCTGTCAGGTAATTAATTTTATTAATGGCGGGTCGGATTTATGTGGCCTAACGTATTCTGCTGCCAAGAGACACGCTCGGGAGTATTCCCGAGACAAGTCATTGCAGGTATGCCAAGTAGAGAGACGACGTGACGATTGGAGAAGCACAACCATTGCTTTTGACGATTCAGATATGCCAGACCCTATGCAACCCCACCATGACACTCTGGTCATATCCCTTAGGGTGGCAAACTTTGAAGTGAAGCGAGTCCTTGTTGACAACAGAAGCACGGCCAACATAACTACCATGCAGATGCTGGAACAGATGGGAAACAAAGAGGAGGACGTAGCAAAATCAGGATCTACCCTCGTCGGTTTCAACGGAGAGTCGAGCCGAACCATAGGTAATATCTCTCTCCCTGTTTACGCTAACGGTCTTAATGTGCAGGTCCGGTTCGATGTAGTCAAGGACCTCCCAGCTTACAACATGATTTTGGGGACGCCGTGGTTGCATCAAATGGGAGCCATTCC